ATGCAGACGATGTCTGTCAAAGATATATATATATATACATGTGTGTGTGTGTGTGTGTGTGTGTATCGATCGCTTATAAATAAATGTATATCGTAGTTCTTGTTGTCTCCTAGGTGCAACTTTCTGTCTGCTTTGCCCTTTTCCGGCAGTGTTGCGGTGATGAATGGACAGACGCTGAGTGCGATGGACGAACGGATGAATGGATGAATAAACGGACCGAATGGAGGAGTGAAACGGATAAATGGAAGAGTGATGCATGGATGGATGAATTGTTTATGAGAAATGCACGAGTATTGGAATTTAATTGAAGACGGATGTCTTACTATTAAAAAAGAAAAAGAAAATTCAGACTTTTGAATGTAAATTATGTCACATCTTTTAACTTTTATATCGCATTCACTGAAATTTGAGTAATGAATTGTTTAATGAAGTAATTTGAGAAGCAAATCAGATTAACAAATATGAAGTATTCCCGAAAAAGAAAACAAAAAGATTAATAAATTTAATGTTAAAATTTTAGATATAAATATTTGGTGAATGAATTTGCTAGAATAATATATTAAAAAGAAGATAAGCCAAAGCAAAGCAAAGGAATTTTTTGGACGAAATATGATAATGATGGTACGAGCTTGGAGAGGAAATCAGTTGTCTAAATATTCATCAGAAACAAAATTGACAACTTTTTTTGAAATGACTTAAAGATATGTGTATGAGAATGAATTTGTAAATTTGATTTTCCTCTTTCGTTTTCTTTTTTTTTTTTCTCAAATACAAATGAATAATGATTAGAAACTACGATTTGTAGTAAGCGTTTTCTGTATGTAACACAGAGAGTAAAGGAAAGTTTTTTTTTTTTTTTTTTGTAAAACTCGAAATACAAACTATTATTTTCCACTTTTTTGACGAGTTACAACTCAAAAAATTAACATTCATATCTATCGAAGTTATCTTATCTTGCAATTTATACTATCAAATTTTCACTCCATTATCAGAATTTATTTGCTTGCTATCATCGTAAGTTTAAATTGAAGTTTTGAACTCTGAAATTATTGCACATTTATTGCATAAATTATAATTCAAAAATGAAAATGTCAAGAATGAATGAGAATATTTTAACAGAGAAACTAGAATAATGGGAGAAAAAAAAGAAGCAATAAGGAAAGAAGAGAGTGTAAATGAAAGATGAAGACGAAAAAGTAGACAATGCAAAAATGATGCAATTTTTAAAAGAGTACTGAAGAATTTTTTAAATGTGCTAAGAAGAAAAAAGTAATTTTAGGTTATGATAGCATAAATGGGATAAGATTTTAGGCTATGAGAAAAAGTAAATAAACAAAAACAAAAAAAAAGGAAAAGAAATATTCGGATCGTTTTTCATTATTATAATTTCTGAAGATCAAAGTTATTTCCTTTTCTGACAGATCACATTTTTATCGAACCAGTTCCTCTTGCAAGTAATTTTTTCGTCAAAAAAAAAAATAAAAAATAAAAAAATAAAAATGAAACCCGTTTAAGAGGGAAACGAGCAATCATGGCTATCTCATAAATGATGAATTGAAACTTGTTTTTCCATATGAGAAAATCATGTAAAAATAATAATTTCATATTTCGAATAAATTCAAAATAAAACATTTGATGGGGGAGAATAATATATAATATAAAATGTTTTCGTTTTTTCTTCTACATTTTACATAATTAAATAATTAATTAATTAATATTCTTGTGAAAATATAAACAAACATGCAATAATTATTTTTATACTTTTGTTGTTTCATACATAATTTGTATGAATGAATGAATGAATGAATGAAAAAATTTGGTTGAAAATCTCTTACATGTTGTATTATTTCAATTTTTTTTCCTGTACTTTCATTTTTCTTTTTTTTTTTCTCTTAAAAAAACAATGAAAGAAGGGAAAAGGAGAGAAGAGAAGAAGGTTTGTGATTTAATATAATGACGACATGACAAGTTAATGATAGATAGATGCTAAAAAATTCCCATATTTTTTGACGTAAATATAATTAGCAACTAAAATTTGTATTTTGTTTGTTTGTTTGTTAACTTTTTATACTTTTTCTAAGCTTCTTTCTTTTTACTTAAGAACGAAATATATATAAGTTAATAAATTTTATTCATTATCTAAACTTTTAAAATGAAATCATGATCAAGGATTGAATTCATGTGGATATGCAATTAATAAAATGATATATTTAAAAATGCCTGAAAGTGAAAATCTTGCATCAATTTTATTCTTTTTTTCAAAATAAATTCAAAAAATATAACATAAAAAAAGCTTGATTATCTAAAACAAACAAAAGAATTTAATTTGATTAATTTCAGTTTAACTTGATAAAATTTACAATACTAATGATCAAATATTTAATATTCATTAAATTAAAAAACTCTCAGTGATTTGTAATTATTGTGTTATATTAATTAATAATTTTTGATGAATGAGTAAGTTCATTATTTTTTCTTTCATTTACATTTTCTTCAATCATTATTACAATTTACATGTTCAGTGAAAGTATATATGAAAAGTAATCAACCAGTCGTGTTCCACTTCCACATCAACACCAGTCTGATAAAGAAAATAGATTGCAATACGATGGCTTACATATCATATTGCTTCCTATCTTTATTATCGTAAATATTCAACAATAAATTTTCTTTAGCTTCTTTTAAAACGATTTAGAAAATTTTCTTTTCTTTTAATTTGAAATCTTTCAATGATAATTTGTATATAAACAAATTATAAAAAAGTAAAAAATAAAGCAAACAACTGTCGAAAGAATTATTACAATTATAGCAGTAATAATTTAATTTTTATATTAAAAAATCAATTTCAACTAATAGATATAATATCAGGTAAAGTAAAAATAGCATAAAATTTATTCTATTAGGATGCAATCAATAGCATAATGAATACTGTAGAATGAATAATTGTGATTTTCTTTTTAAATATATTTTCATATAAAAATAAAAATGATATGGGAAATATCAAAGTTTGAATTAATGATTAGTTTCTTTGTTAAGTTTAATTCAGTTATCACTTAAAAAAAAATTAGATAAACAAAAACAGATAAGTAAGAAAAGAAAGATTTCAAAATGAATAATCTTTATTACGAACAGATTGTTACATTCTTCTTGTGCTTTGTTTTGTTTTTCCAACCATTTATAACTTAAAATTTTTTACATTTTATGTATTTGTTAGCAACCGAAATATAAAATTAGCTTACTACAAGCATTTTGATTAAGCATTATCAGTGTTTTTGATTTAATATTCAGAAAATTGATAAGTTGTGTTTGATAGCTAATTTTGTTAAATTTTCCATATTAATATGTATATTCCCTGTATATTAAGTCCTGTATATTAATTAGTATTGAAATCCCAACTACCATATCCGGAATACGAAAACTTATATTACATCGATTATTGACTCAAATGAACATTATTATGTTATCATAAATATTAAGATGAAGTGAAAAAGAAGCCAAAATTTATGTAGAATAAGATTAAAATAACTAATACTGATATTGAAAAATTATTCTTCCGGAAAAATTATTACTTTATTGGTAACATTAATTTCAACATCACTACTGAAATAATGACCAAATGAAAAAAATTTTGAAACTGGTCAGCTGTAACAGTTTCCGGAAGGACTGTATTTAAACCGATATTCATTAACTTCAGTCATATTTTTGAGAATGCGCATATAAATAGAATATCCCGGAAAAACTTGAAACAAGTTGGAACTAATTTGAATTCCTGTGATATTTGACCAATAATAATCGCTCTTTTATCAACTGTTAAGCATTAAAAGGAAACTTTAAATAGTAAATTGATAAATATGAAAAAATAATAAAATAAATGGAAGAGTGGATTAATGGTGGTAAAATTATTAACAAAAACAATGAAAGACTATGAAATTAAATGAATACATATCATTTGTGTTAACAAACTCAACCAACCACGATGGCAAAGGTCAACACTGTGTGCAATATTTTGGATGAATAAAATAGAATGATATGACATGCATACACATACAACTTGTCAACTTCTTAATTATTTGAATCCTTATCATGAATCCTGTGGATAATAATTTTAACAAATATGAAAAGTGCAGATATGAGATCTCACAGATTAATTTTAAAAGGTTTTTTTTTTCTTAAAGTTTAGTAAAGTAATACTAAATTCTATCACTACACAAATTGCTATAATTGTAATGTAAAATGTAGTAAATAGGCACGTATCACAAGTATGAATTAATTTTAAAGAAAAATTTTATAAAAAACGTGACGTTTTGCTTTATAAGATCTCATTGTCATTTGTTTTACTGCAAATATAAATGAATGTTGACAGTGCTTAGAAAGTAACACCCTTTTATTTCATTTGCTTTTTTTAAAATTATTTCATCCATTTATCACAATCAGTGTTCCATCTGAATATACAATTACAAAAATTCTCAGTTTTTCGATTCGTAAAATTAACGAAATTTTCAGAGGAAATAAAAAAGAACATTCCGGAACCAGCGATGACAAAATACTGTTAATTGATTCTTTCAAAATCAGCAAAAGAAATACGTGATTACTGCCAATACTATCTGCTTTTAGTTCCAAACTTCTTGAAGTAAAAAGGATTCAAATTTAAATGAAAAGTCTCATACTTATCACTACACTTCAGCATGCATAAATATGACTTTAGTGTGTGCTATAAAGGTATTCTACGTCTGTTTACTAATTCATTTGCACAAAATGCAACGCAACTTGCTAATTATTTATTTAATTAGTATTTATTATGCACATTACAACTCGTCATAAAAACTTTTCACAGAGAATAACTTCTTATGGAATGATTTCGTCTTTTGTATGTTCATAATAGTTGCTTAAATGCTATGAGCGTAAAGAACGTGAAACTGGATAAGTGAATATTCTTTCAGTTGACCTCCTTCCCTCAGAAGTCTTTTCGAAATAAATTAACAAACCATTTCTTTCTATAACTAATGATGACGTATTTTTGGTCTCATCAAAATTTTTTTGATCGCATAAGGACGTTTCCTGCAATTTTTTCGTTGATATTTGAAAGGCTAATATACATGTATAAATACAAGAGTATCATAAATAAAACTAACCTTTTCGGACCTTCAAAATTAAACGTCTTCCATTTTTGTATCTAAAATTTATTGTAATTTTATTTTGCAAAAATTAAAGTTGCATAATTTTTTTTTGTAACAGTCATTCAAGTTAACTATTTCGATCAAGTTAAACATATCAATAACCAATGTTATGTAATTCATATACTGTAATGCTCCTCACAAGTGAGTCTTAATTAAATCTTCAATTGATTTAAGCAAGAAAGCAAAATGTCATTACACCTAGCCAAACCGAAAAAAAAAATGCATACACGATTGAAAACTCACCGGATTTATACTTTGTAGTTGAACTGGAAATGTTGATCTGAAATAAAACGTGAAGATAACTGAACCTACTTTGCTCCATTAGGATTTAAAATTATCAGGTACTAATATTTTAGCGACTAATATTAGACTATGACCTCTCTAGCTACAAAAACTTTTCGATGATAAACATAATATTGAAATGATTTTCAGCCTCACAGAACAATAGCCATGCCCAACCACTGTCTTCTCACAGTTATTCATTAAATGAATTTACTTGCTGCAATGAAAACTTTACGTTATTACACCTTTAAAGAACATTCATAAACACTAACTTTTTTGCAGAAAGTAATACACTATCTGGGAAAAACTCTTCATTGAGCATATTCAAATCAATGGTGGAAAGCGTAGCACTATTATGAAAATCTTTGCTATCGCTGCAAAATGGAAAGATCGAAAAGTAAACAAATATTGCAATATTTCAAATTTTTGATCCAAATCTTTCAACCAAAAAATCATACAGCTTCAAATAATTTTTAATTTAAAATCAGAGAATATCTGAGCTATGACTTATGCATGAAGAAAGTATCTGAACTATACTTCCTGTTTGTTTGAAGAATATGTTTCTGAGCTATGATTTTTATTTGAAGAAAATAAGCAGTATTTTTGAACTTAAAAAGAATCAGTAAAATAACATGCTGATTAAAAATTGCGTTCTTTCGTCTTTTTATCATTGTCTAACACTGATAACGAAATAAATAAGATAATCAATAACTTACAAGTCTAATAAATTTGTTATATGATAATTTGTTATTTGTCGGCTATCAACTTGCTGAACAGCAGTCACATTTTCAGGCCATTCGTAAGTTTCCAAGTCTTCTGGTATTGCTGAAACATAAATCATCCGTTCTTTAACAAATTCAGAAGAGTCTTCTAACAGTCAAAGTGTCCTTAAGTTAAGCAAGCAATTATGCAACAAAATAATATCTATCAAATTACAACAAATTATAATGCAACGAATAAATATCAAATAAAAACAATGTCAAAATTAACCCTCAACAGATTCTCCTTCAATCGAAGAATCTAACGCTTTTTGCAGACTCAACAAGAAATCTTTTGAACAATTTAATTCTGTTAATTTATTTTTCAGTCGCACTAAAGGATGCTGCTCGGAATTGATGGAAGAATGCCACTTCATTGCAACAAATTTAACTGAATCCTGGAAGTTTTTTTTTAAAAAAAAAAACAAATTATTAAAGAAATTTGAAAAAATAATTAGATTATGAACCTCATAGAATGGATTTAAGATCAAAATTTACGTTAAGAAAGAGTCAAATATCTGAACTCGTAATCTTGGTTGGCAGAAATGTAACAGTCGCTTTTTAATTTATTTTATTTTTGATCTGCAAACATGAACAACTCATAATAAATTTAAAAAAGCATTTCATATAGCATGTCTTAAATGAACTAGAATTAAAAAAAAGCAAATACATTCTAACATGATTAAATTCAAAATCCACCGATAACAATTGTTTCACTTACTTTTTTTAAAATGTTTTCAAAAAGATCGACGAGCTGAGCTGCGACTTCAAGAAGTAATTCGTCGATTGGTTCTCCCATCAAAAAACGATCCGTAAAATATAGCAGAGCACCCTCGTTACTAATTAAAGCATTGTTAACCTATATAAAAATATTTAAGCTTTGCAAATTTATAAAGTTGAGGATTTTCTAATTGGCCAGAAAATAACAACAGAAATTTTGACAAGGCAACCCATTTGACCATTCTATGTTAAGATTTTATAGATTTAAAAATAAAAAGACCTTATAAAAGGATTCATTATATTCAAGTTTTGTGCTTTTGAAAAACAGTTCAGTGATTTGAACAATCGTTTATTGATTAATTACTGGTGTGTCTGTAGACTCTATACGGACCTTCACAGAATGTGAAAAATCAAAAAAAAAAAAAAAATTCCAAACAGTTGAAAAAATCTTAAATCTTACTACAGCACGACCAAATGCTGAAGAACGTCCTATGCTGCAAATACTTTCCAATGCCAGCATCATCGTTTCTATATTATGCTGCATGTTTCCAAAATGTTCCACAAGACTGTCACATATTTTGATATAGACATCACTAGGCAAACAATCGATTTTTCCATCAATATTTTTGTCAGCAACGCAAAGATTACGAAAAATTTTCTGAAAAGATATTCAAAAATTAATAAACCAGTACAAAAAACAAATAAAGAGCCATAAGATAATTGTCATTCAAAAAGAATTGTTTATATAATGCAAAAAAATATTACGTTACTAAAGATTTGAAGAAAATTATATTTTCATAAAGATGAAAATTGAGTAAAACTAATAAGTAACCAACTAGGCACATAGTCTATATTGTTTATTACGACAAAAAAAAAATGGAAATTTGAGAACTTACAATGACGTATGTTTGGAACGAGACGTGAGGTAAAGTTTTCGGGCTAGCTAGTTTGAAGAACATCAGCAATGTAGTAATATAACTTTTGCGCTGGGAAATTATGATAACCATAAAATTTCGAAGTACAAATTCTGTGGAACAGATAGCCAAGAATGCATAAAATGAGGCTGTCACAAGATCAACGGCATTGCCAAAACGAACATTTGACTCTTCCTCAACAATATCGTCGTCAAAAGCATCAACGATAGCCGTATGTGCCGAAGACGTTAACATTCGTAAGCTCTGCTTTATAAGAATACTATAAAAAAGAAATAATTTCGATGATTGATTGCGTCAGAAAAGTGAGATATTTAAAACGATAAAAATATACGTAAATGATGAGTAAATAAAAGGAAAGAATAAATAAGTAAATTTCACACATAAAATGTATTTCAAAAAACTCACTGTAATAAAACTGGAGAGTTGAAAAAATCATATAATAAGATAATCAAACAAAGTCTCTTAAAAAAACTTAATATGAACTTATTATATATATAAGTCTATCGATCCATATTTAAGTTTTTTAAAGAGATTTGATTACAAATTATATATATATATCATACAAAATACACATTTGTGCCAATTTATTTGATGAAATCAATCTTGAAAACAACAAAAAATAACAATTTGTTGATTAGTTCTTAAGAAAAATTTGCTTACTCAATTAAACGCAATGCATTACTCTCGGAACAATATGCCAAACGTTTACACAGGTCGAATATACGTCGCTTCAGTCGCTGCGAAGATGAGATACCTAACTGCAAAAAAAAAAAAAACATAGCATTAATATTTCAAATTAGAAAACGCTTCACTCAAAAATCTCATAAATCCAATACATTAAACTGAAATAATAACCATAATTGCGAACTGCAACTGTTTCCCGTTTTCTAAAATACGATCGCTCAGCAATTTTTCCATTGAAGTTACCTCCTGCATATTAATACCAACAACGTTTGCCAGCATATCCGACGGAAGCGGGAATAATTTTAGCAAAATATCCAACGTAGCAAAGAAATTTGAAGGTTTATCGAAACCGGAATTCAAAAAAAGCTTTAGAAATGACTGCTGACCAGTTTTCCGTAATCTCTGTCGATCTGACAGAGTTGGAAAAATAAATAATGAAAATGAATTTATAATAATTTCTCTAATTATGCGATCGCCAGATGCTTCATCCATACAACAGAGTGTATACGTCCTCAACAAGGTATCTATGACCAGCTTATCAGGATTTTGGTTGATAGTTTGTAAGGACAATAATAGCTTGCATATAATGCTCGTTGCTGAACGAACAAACTGACAATAAATGTATGAATCACCGGTAAGTGCGGTGCATCGATAATGCACTCGTTTGCTCTGTTGACAATTTGCTATCTACAAAACTTTTTTGAAATTAAAATGAATTTTTAGAAAAACTTGGAAGTTTTTCATCCTGAAAGTCACATAAAATGATTCACCTCAAAAAAAAGCTTACATCTAATACGTGTGTAATTTTTCTAATCCACCATCCCCATAAAATTTTGCGTAGTAATCGAAATGAATTTCATCGGGTGGGACATCAAATAATGTTACATTTTCCGGTTCATTCAGTATTGCATCTATTAGACGTAGTAGAGTTACCAATGCTAACGGCGGATCACCTTCCACATATTTTTCACTGTGATAAGTTAATCTAAAATAATGATTATGCCAACAAAACATTAATATTTTTGGAAAGAAAATTTGATTGAAATTTATAATTTCTACAATTTTACGGTTGACGACAAGTACCATGAATTTGTATTCCTTCTTCATTTAAATTCCACTTGTCTCATCACATTAAACATAGTTTTACATAGTCGCCTAATTCTAATCTTTTAGATAAATAATTTAATAATCTAGTTTCTATCCTGGCAAACTAATTTTGCATAAATTTTTGAGATTTCAAACCTCGTCGTTAGGAAATCTAACGTATTTATATTTCTCCCAAGTGCTAATTCCTCCCGAAATGGTTCCAGCCAGTGTTTCAATGATGTGGCAGCTGAGATGAGGTTACAATCGATTAGTTTAATAATTTCTGGACCATGCCTTCTCCAAAATATTCCACTAGACTGATTTCGTGCTAAGGCAAATAGAATTTCACACAAATATCCGTAAGTAGCAGTTTGCCTAAACCTCGTTTTGATGTCATCATCGATATGGCCTTCGAGTATTAATACTGATTTTTGAAGATCACATATATGTAACAAATGTTTCAGATTATCTCCAAATGATAGTGCGGAAATCATCGCAAGACGTCCTTCTTCGACTAATAACATATGCAACATATTTTGTAGAACAGTTACACGCTCAGGTGCATCGATTACTGAAATACACCTGAAATTATTGAAATGAGATATTTTTTAAACTGAAGTTCCAGAAAGAATCCAGGTGTTGAAGAAAGATCTAAATGCTTAAATTTAATCTAATTTAAATTGAAGACAAATTCAAATACGAAAAAACCAAAACTTACTTCTCATCGGCAGCAATAAACTGATCAACTAATACGATTGCTCGCAATGCGTAAGGTAATAATGACTTTTCTTTGCTATCTTCCTTAAAAATAAATTTCTTTACGCCATAATTTTAGGAAGCCGATTTATAAATATTGAGATGAAATTCAAATGCAAATGAAATTAATAACAACAGAGTTGCAGAAACTACTTTACTTTGTAAATGTTTTATTTTAAAAATATATTCAAAGAATCTGAAAGGTTCAAAAGGTTGTAGTGTGCATGAACCAGTTTTTAAACCGATAAAAATAAGTTTATGTAGAAAGAAAAAAACCAAAACTACCGAAATTTGATGTAATAATCGTCCAACTAATGATACTGTTTGTGTGCCCATATATGAGAGAAAAATCGCTCCAGTAATATCAGTACCATCGAAATCGCACAGCAATCGGAGACAACGAACTGCCAAATACCTTATTCTCGTATCTTGATTAGGTGATATAGCATGCACACAAATATGCGGAATTAAACAACTAAAAAAAGGAATATCGTGCCAGGGAATAAAATTAAAAAAAATCAGATCCAAATTTTTTAATCGAATGATAAATTAAAATTTGAAGCAAAAGACCATTATGCCATAGAACTGTGTATTAACGGTCGACCCTTTGATTTGAATAATCATAAACTCTTTATGTCAGAAAGACTTTATTGAATAAATCTATCAACTAAGGAATAAAAACAAATCCGGCAAATCTTCGAACATAAAATGCATCACATTAGAATGCGAAGTAAAACTACCTAACATATTACTACTGATATATGCCGAAAGTTCGTTGGCGAAATTTCTAAACTCATAGCAATTGCATTAAAGTGCTAACATTAATTTTTACACGCCTTACTTTTTCACAATGGTCCGATGTGCAGAGCATGACATATAGCTGAAATCATTTCTTATTTTCGAAAAGAAGTTGTTCAGAATGTTGAAGGATGAGAACAGCTGAGAAGTATCAACATCATCACAATCTTCCTCCATAAAAAACCTTCGTGCATGGTTGCTTACAACATCAATATTGTATTTAAATACAAAATAACTTGCGATTTTTTGAAGTACTCCTAACAAATCCAGCGAAACATCCTGCAAAATTCTAAGGGTAAGGGAAAATAATGATGATGGCTTATCTGTTTATGTATCTTCAGTGTACAATATAACCTCCAAATCGAAATTTGTTCTCTTAGCTCTTTCCAAAAAATCACTGCGAGACAAGAACAGTGAAAGTTGTTATATACTTTCTAAGTGCACTGAAAAATAAAACAATCACTTCTGCAATGATAGGTGCAAACCTCTGGTTTCATGAAAAGATGTATGACTTGCTCGTATGGTGTATATTTATTCCCTTCAATTTCTGTCACCATGAATTTCCAGGATATTGATGGATGAAAAAGAATGTCTAGAAGTGCTTGCGCAGCTTCACATCGGATTGATGAGCAGTACTGCTTGGAGGATATGATATTCATAATATAATTTAAATATTGGGGAGCCTGAAGACAGTTCCGTTTTTTACCACTTTCCTTTCTCACGAAATATTATAAATATGTTTCCACGATAGTAATCAATCTTGACAATAAATTTAAGAGACTAGATTATGTGAGATCAATTAGTTCGACTAGTTAAATAATTCAATGTAATTCAGTAAGCATACACAAAATGTCACGCTCAAATCCTTTTCATGCATAGCTGATAGCTGTTTGGTTAGACTACAACCGATCATAGCCATTTGACTGCTTCCTGCATACGATGTAGAACGACTTGAGCTAAGTCCAAATTCAACCCATCTTGCTAATTCAACATCCATCTCATGTACCTTTTCTGTAAGCTGTTTTAATTAAATAAAAAAAGTTAGCAATTACCAAGATAACAAAGCATTGAGTGCCTCAGAAAAATAAATCCTATAAACGCTGAAGTTTATTTGATGCTTAAGGTTTCTAAATTTGAGAGTTAATATTACAAATAAAATTTGCTGCAAACACATGCCTTCACAGGATGCAGCTTTGGTATAAATTCGTATACTGCTTCGAATAGTTGGTAAGATAGTTTCCATAGAAATTGTCCAGTCGTCACTGGAAATTGAGAAAGCTTATACTGTTGACAAAAAAAGTATGCTGTCTTGATAATAAAAGCATGCAGTGGTACAGTGCACATCAAATTTTATGATCAAATCAAACTGATTAAGAATGACTTACATAAGCTCAATCAGTGGTTTGGAACAAAATGATTCCAAAGCACCGCAAAAAAGTTCGTACTCCAAATCTGTCGGTTTCATATCTTCCACATCTTTCCATGGGTATTCCAAATTCTAAATATCATTGACTTTAAAATCAAAATTTTGATCTGGACAAAAAGCGTAGAAATCAGAAAGAACTAGACATATCGCAAAAAAAAAGAAAAATACAGTTTTGAGATATTGAACCATCAACAATTCGTCAATAAATTAAATGCTTAGAGATTTCATATGTGTCCTAGCAAATGCAAATAATTAAATCGGCAAGCTAGTTTCGAAACCCATCCATCAAATAATCCGTCTATCCTACTAATGGAAACATATAAAACAATGAACACCTCCTAATTCCAGCCACTTGTTTCAGATAATACAAAACTGTAACATATGAAAGCAGTGCATACTTACCTGAATAAGAACATTATCAATTTGCTGCAGAGGAGATGAGGCCAGTTCGTTTTGTATCGGTGCCTTCTCTAAACTCTCCATAAAATTCTCGTTATGTTTTTCCATCACTGTGTATTACTTATCATATTGGAAATAAAATACATCTCTATTCTGTATTCAGAACCTAAACATTAGTTGAACCCATTACACCTGGAAACCTTGACAATTAGTTCTTATGCTTTCATACGAGATTATATGCGTGGAAATACGTATATGGATGGATGAATGAATGTATGCATCACATTTACAGAACTAAATTAAATTGTTTCTTGATTTTTATCATCAGCCGACTGTTGCTTAGTTGGAAATAGAATTGTTACACGTGTGCACGTCAACTCCATGACAACAGTACGCCGTTGGAAAGGAAAATACCCGGCAGATAGATGCAGACACAAACGAAACTAGCAATGAGTTTCCTTCCCCAATATAAGATAGCTTTCATCACGTTACCACGCTCATCTGATTACGTACGCAAACTTTTCCAGTAATACAAGAATGATTTCAAAATTTTCATAACGTCCTGAACTGAGTGATACGCAGACGTAATAATATAATTTGGCTGGTGATTTTGAGTTGTCTTATTGATAGTTTAAAACCGGAGCTGGAAATCGGTTCTCTGAGTATAAGTGAGGGTTTCCGTAAAACACTTGTTATATACGGATTTGAGGTCAATATTTCTGAATTGTTGTTAATAGTCGACTTCTACGGCAAATTTTTAACAGCTGGCAAACCTCCAGTCGAGGTTAGTGACGTCATTTATTTAATTTGAATTGTAGTAGTCCGCATTTTTTTTAGTGTTAACTTCAACTTTAAATATAGTCATTCGCATATTTTACTTCAGTTATTTCTTCAGTAAGTTAACTACATATAAGTATTTATAAGTATTTTGGGAACAGTTTGTTGTAGTGAGTAGTAGTATTTGATTGTATTGTATGGAAGAGCAATGATTTTTTTGTTGCTCTATTGCTTATAATGGCACAATAGTTAATGATATTTTTCCAATCATATGGAAAGTCGCAGTTAATTTTTCACTTTTTCCAACTATAGTTATTATTGTTTAGATGATAACTGTTAGATTACATGAAAAGCTGTATAACAGATGAATAGTTTATTTTTTATTTGTATTTATTTAAGTGTAATCACTGCGTGAGGGTTAGATTGGAATTGAGAATAATGAGTTGTTTTGCATATTCGTACACTTTTGCTTTCTCACTCTTCATACATTTCATACTTTTGTTTTTCTTATCCGTTATTATCATGCAGATTATAATGGATTGAATTAAGTATGTCTGGTGCAGTGACGCTTAATTGAGGTATTATTGATAATGAGAAAGACTACAGACGTTATTATCATTAAAACGTTCCAGTTAGTCTCAGGTTGTACATTAAATTCGAGAGAGATTGATGGGAAGCGTTGACAACAGTTCAACTAATGCTCCACTGAATCCCGTTGCTGGCACTTCAGAAATGGTGGACGATGGCGAAACTACTGGTTACTTTTTATTTTTTTCTCTCCAAAAATTTTTCTACAAATCTTTTCTGAAAAAGAGCGAAAGTCTGTGAGCAGGAAAAAAATTTTTGCATCGTAATCAGCTGTAATTTTCTCGAGAACATTGGTTGTCAAATATAAAGTTTCTTAAATATTAATATTGTTAAAAATTTGTGGTGCTTTCTTGATGCTTCATAAACATTTCGGAAAATGCTTTAGATTGAATAAACATTTTGCTTGAAAAGTGCTGTTTATCGAATTGCTGGGATAATCAGAAGAATAATGTAATGAATTAATGAGTGTAGTATCAGTGAAAGTATTGATGGCAAATGAAATGCGTGTTTGTTAATTTCAGACATATGCCGAGTTTGCAGAAGTGCCGGCGACAGTGCGTTATATTATCCGTGTCTATGCACGGGAAGCATTAAATATGTTCATCAGGATTGTCTTCTAGAATGGCTGAAATACAGCAAGAAGGAAGTTTGTGAATTATGTAGCCACAAATATTCTTTTCAACCCATTTATCGATCAGATATGCCTCAAACATTGCCACTTTCTGAAATAATACGAGGTCCATTCTAATATTTCAAATGTTTTAAAAATATTGAGTCTCATGAAAAGTTTTGCTTATTTTTTATAGCATATCTATTAAAATTCAACCCAGTTCTAGCAAGAATATGTATCCTCTTCATTTGAAATAAAATTTTTCCGAGTTTTAAGAATGCGTTATCCTGAGTCTTATGGGTATTAAATGCGGTCGAGCATTAACAAAGTCTCGAACAATATCTTCCATATAGAAGGAAGATATTTTTTTATTACAAAATGCACCATTGTTTTCTCCCCTCTGTACTGCATTTTGCTATATCTATCGAATTGTTTTAGGCATTTTGCTTAATATGGGTCGTATATTACGCTCCTGGGCTATTTACACACTTGTGTTGGTTGCTTGGTTAGGTATTGTACCAATAACAGCCTGTCGCATTTACAGAATAGTTTTTTCCGCTTCTTTATCCAGTATGTTATCATTGCCTTTTCAACTGTTTTCACCAGACAATTTGCTGGTCGATTGTCTTAAAGTAAGTTGTCATAAGAAATGCGATTTTTAACCCAAAAAACTATGAGGAAATGTTTTACCCAACTACTACTGTTATCATAATATAGAAATTGAGTTGAATAAGTTTGAAATTTCTATTTTAAAAGCTATACCTCTCTTTTCATCTGGTAGAATGGGTAGTGGAATAAGTGAGTCTTTCCTAGCTCGTTGCTTTAAGTGACTGAGATTTTTGCATTAATGTACGAAAAATTGTAGGTGTGACAGTACAGATGTTTCAGTTCTTTATGATTTTTGGCTTTTTTCCAGATAAAAGTTTATTGCAAAATTAGTATATTTAGAATTTGCAGTATTCATGAAAAGATGTGGAGGACACGGAACCTAGTTAATATGTGTTTCATATAACCATTTAATAATTCATTATCGTCGTATCTTCAGGGTTGCTTTATTGTTTCGATTTTTCTATGCGCTTTTATATCCCTTGTTTGGTTACGCGAACAAATTATTCATGGTGGTCCACAGGAATGGCTTAATTTAGAAGATGTTGCTAGAGGTGCGAATGCAGAAAATGCATTGGATGATAATGTTGATGCCGTGGTTAGTTAAGTGGTTTTTTGTTGAATACAGTGTTCCGTTTTCAATGCATGAATTTGTGATTTTCGGTAGATGATTAAATGGTTGAAGAGTTGACTCGGACCACGTTAATAAAGTTTTATACCCTCTAAAAAATTGTAACGTTTTTAAGAAGCTTTTAGGTTGCTGAAGCAAGGGTTGAAATTGCTGGTAACGATATGGAAGGAGGAGAAGTAGAAGAGCGAGGAGATGATGCGGAACAAGGCCAAGAAGATGTTGCAGTTCAGGATCAAGCAGATAATGACAACTGGAGAGAATGGGAAAGAGTAGCGGATGAGTTAACTTGGCAAAGGCTCCTTGGCCTAGATGGATCACTTTTGTTTCTTGAACATGTTTTTTGGGTTATTTCACTGAATACCTTATTTACCGTACTATTCGGTATGTGTTTCATGTTTTATTATTATTATTATGTTGGAACGCTTATTTAAATTATCAAAAGGATAAAAGGACTCGGAACTGGTAAAGGTGTCTGCAATATTGTGTTTATATATGCATTGCATTTTTTATGACATTTCCAGCATTCTTGCCTTATCAGCTTGGTCATTTTTTTCTGAAAGCTATTGGATTATCATCTCGAATCGCTTATTTTCCGACGCTTACATCTGTGTTACTCGGATATTTTATTCTTAGTTTAATTGTTCGCTGTCTTCATGTTACAGCGAAAATCTCCAGATTAGCTCCGTAAGTTGTTCTTAAATATTTCGGAAAAGAGGAGATCCTAGAAGAATTTTTTTTAACTCAATTTCTTTTCTTCAGAATGTATCGAATATTGGGAATGTGTTACCTTGTCCTCAAAGTTTTTCTCCTCGTACTGACCGAAATTGGTTTCTTTCCAATAATATGTGGTTGGTGGTTAGACATCTGTTCTCTGGTATGTTATACATAGTTTTAGCACTTTTTCTTTTTTAGCTCATTGGTCTCTACAAAATTACACTTTGTTACCTCTGTGAGAGAATATGAAATATATGATAATTGATCAAATGACATGCTCCTGTTTGTTTCTTATACAAGACAACATTCCTGGTACTTGTATCTTTTTTTATATTTTAGCCTTTATTTGCTTCAAGTCTGTCGCGTCGGATTGCTTCTTTTATGGTCTCTCCAACATCATCCCTTTTTATGCATTGGCTTATTGGTATGGTTTATGTCTTCTACTCGGCTTCATTTGTGCTGGTTTTGCGTGAAGTGCTTCGTCCAGGTGTTCTCTGGTTCTTGAGAAATTTAAATGACCCAGAATTCAATCCGATACAAGAGGTATGTTATACAGTTATTTTTTTTATGCAGTTATGGAAAGCTATTTCTGATATTATTGTAATGTAAAAATGCGTTTTGAGCTACTAAAATTTAAAGAAATCTGTTCATTCAACTTTTCTAGTACTTAAAGTATATTTTTCGTAAATTATAACTTAAATATTTAGATGATTGAACTTCCGGTTATACGACACTTAAGGCGACTTATTGCATCAACATCAATCTTCTTTACAACAATTCTTCTGCTGGTTTATGTTCCACTTTGTTTCATAACGCGCTATATACCATCTGTACTACCATTCAATTTGAGTTTGGCTGCCGAAACTCCTGTCAGCGAGCTGTCACTGGAGCTACTTGTTTTACAGGTAATTTGATTATACTTCGAATTCAGCTAGTTATTTGACGTATTTCCATGTAATGAATTGTAGAACAAATTGCAGGTAGTACTTCCAGCCCTACTTGAACAGACTCATGCCCGTACGATTTTGAAGACAGTTGTACGCACTTGGTGTTGTATTTTTGGGCGACTACTACAGCTGGAACATTATTTGTTACCGATGGAGGAAAATGAAAACGGACGCCAGCAACGCGAAGCACCACCAGTCCAGCCAGTTGCTGGATTAGGCTTAGCTGCTCAACACC